TTACAAATACAATTTAAATAGGTAATCTCATGGCGTCGGTTAATCTCAGCAAAAGACGATAGTTTAAACACGGAAAACAATTTAATACAACAAGTTTTAGCGGGAGCGTACGCGTACGCGAGCCGCGGTTGGACGAAAACGTTTCGGGCGCTCTAGGGATGGGCAAGGGAAAAATAAATCGATATATATCGAATCGATAGTTTTAAATGTCGATATATCGTCATCATTTGCATGATGTAAAGATAAGGTCCAAAATTTTATATTACTGACGGTTGGACGACAAAAACAAACGAAAACCAACCACACATGAATACTCTTGTACCACCTTTTGTTGTTACATGTTTTGTCATTAATATAACTTTTTAAAATCTATCGACATTGATACGAATTCGATACTCTAAAATAAATATTGTCGTATCAATATATCGCGATTTAATATATCGACGATATATATATATAAAAGATATATATATATATATATATATATATATATATATATATATATATATATATATATATATATATATATATATTTCGATATTTTTGCCCAAGGCTAGGGCGCTCGTCAGAGCGGGAGTGCGGTAGACGCCGCAGCACTGGTGGTGCGCGGGCAGGGCTCATGAGCGGCTGCGAACCGTACCGCGTTTCAACCCGAAAATGCGTGTGATACGGTAGTAATTAAAAACCCATTACATAAAAAAGTACCTTTATTCTTCATTATTACAAATTATTTGCAGAAAAATATTTTTGTCTGCTATGACACATTCGGAATTCTTTATTATTGAATTTAATTGTGTAAAAAATTCCCATTCTAATGAACAGATTTTTTTTTAACAAACTGTTGGGAAACTAGGACAGGGTACTATGAAACCGTCTTTGTTTATTTTTTTGTAAATTACATCAGCTAATTTGCAGTTTATGTGTTCTTTTTTAAGGCAACAACGAAAAATTTCATCCATTTTCTCGACATATTGAACAAAATCATCTGGTGGTACAACTAGTAAGCTTCGGTTAGTATCTTTGCTGTATTCTCTGTACCTTAAGTAGTAAGTTTCTGAACTAAAGTTATGGGCGGCTTGATTTGGTTTGCTGTGTGATTTCAAAATTTGACAATTGTTGTGACGTTCGCCACATATTTTCAGAATAAACCCACATACATAAACAAGTGAGTTTTTTTTTTGGTTATATCTATTTGATTATATTCCGAGCTCATCATTTGAACATTATTGTCTGGGTCCTCATTGCTCATACCGGGAGTTTCTTGTTCCTCGTTATGTGACGTTTCATCGTTCAGTTGACTCAACACGCTGGTCTGAATTAGGAGTTTTCCCAAATCGTCTTCACAATTACCTGCTTTCGGAGGTTTTATGAGGATGGAATTATTTTTTTTTTGAAAAGCAGATCGTCGCTGTAGAATGATAACCTCGTATGTCCAGAGATCTAAACTTTACAGGAAACGAAAAAAATAGTTCATTTCGTCAATGTTTAAAATATTGTTATAAGCTTTTGTCTCATGTATTGAATGACAAAAAGGACTTTTTTATATTACTAACCAATGTCTTAATTAACTGTGTTATACCAGTTAAATTGACATAAGAGGTTTTCTGTTTTAATATGTGCTAAGTTGCGAGGTTTTCAAAAGTAAAGACACTGCTGTAGACAAAAAATATAATGTTTTATTGGATACAATTTGGACAAGTTTTGGTAAAAAATCAGGATAGGAAGATTTTCTTTCACAGATATCAGTTGAACCGTAAGCTTAGATAACCTAAAATACTCTTAAACCTAATCATAACTCAACCGAAGTCCGTTTTCAAGCACATACCCAGAGTAAACAACAATAACTATAAGAAGGCAAAAACAAATTTAATTATAAATGCGGCAAGCTATCATAAAATGGATGTAAATCTCGAGGAATCACACGTTTTAATTCCTGAAGATGGTTGTATTTTACCGTAGTTATGGGTAACTTTGAATAATACAACTGTTGGAAACAATCACTAGCATTTGTTTGATGTATTTTCCTTGGTAGTAATTGGTATTCTTCCGAATAACTTAGCTTGAACTTTATGGATCCTTCTGGTTCATATTCAAGGCAACGTATGTCAGTGACTTGTGGGTCACCAACCTTATTACCTGGTCTTATCGATGAAAAATACGGTTGAGAGCTGTATTTTTTGAAGGCTGTGTGGTCTAACTGGACGACATTGTAGGGACCAGGATTGTTACGGGCAGTTTTACAAGCTTCAACATACCCTGCTGGTGAATAAATCTCGCGATTTTTTATCTGCCTCTCAATTGTGGAATGCATCGCATCACATTCCATTTGGGTGTGACCCTTCTCAAGATATTTTTGGACTATGACCATACCTGTCTTAGCAGCTGCGAATAAAAGTGCATTGGAGAGAATAGAATTTCTATTTTGGTACGTGCACCCATCACTGTATATTATGACTTTGCGAATGATTGTCCTATCAATATAGTTAATTATAAAATCAACTATGATACTTGAAAACTCATCAGCTGTTAAACCGCCTTCAGATTCATCCCAGAGGAAACAAAATCCTTCTTTGGTCTTCAAATTATTTATTGTAAAATTATGCACTTTGAGCTTCATCTTGTAATAAAGTGCTGAAGCTTTTAAATATGGACAAAGCAAGACAGCTTGCAAGTCCATAGTAAATACAGCAACAGAAGTATCATTTTCTGCTTTGTCATTCTCTTTCTGGCTTTGTGCTTCCGCTTTCCGAATTAAATGTAGTTGATAATCCGTATCACTAACACTTCCAACCTTATGACCACAGCAGGTGTCACACTGGTCCTTTTTTGGACGAAATAAGGACAAATTTAGGCCCTCAAATACTTCCCAAAATGTATACCTTGAAGCACTGAGATGAGCTTTGTTGTGGGCTTTTGTATATTTTAAATATTCATTAAAAAGTGCCGATTTGGATTGCCAATAGGGTTCTAAGTAGAGTTTTGTTGAACTTTTTCTGCAATAATGTGACTCAAGTTTCGGCAGGGAATGGAAGAACTCTCTCAATAACTCTTTTTTTAAATTATTTGCTTGGCCTCTGTTCTTGTTTCTGTCCGAAACGTGCACTGTATTTGTTGCAACAATGTTTTCAACCCAGTTGTGAACTGACCATTCACCGATATTTATTGTGTTTAAAAACATATTTTTACAGACTCTAAATGTTGCCCCTTTATCTTTAAAATTATATTTATACGAATAACTTCTACGAGAGTCAGAGGTTTCCGTTTTTTTTTGCATAGTACCGCTTTTTAGTACAAGTGAGGACACGAAACAACGTTTTGCTTCCCTATTCAGTAGCCAAAACTGCTTAAAAATCTGTAATCTTGAATCGTCCGAAAGTTTATAGCATTCAAAAAATTTGGCATTTTTGTTATGTTCACACCGAGGTTTCATTTCTTTTGGTGCCTTTTGAACGTCGTACACAATTTTTCCCTCTTCGTTTTTTCTTCTTCCCAGATATCCCTCACCTTTCATTCGTTTGTTTTTTTGTTGCTCATACATCCATTGAGATTTATCACTTCGTCCCCGTTTAGCTCTTTTTCGTTGTTGATTAGATATTTCCCTCAAAATTTCAGGACTGTCATTTGGCTGAAAATTTGGATCTTGCACAGAGTCATCGCTGCTGAAATCGGTATTATCTTCAGCCTCTAAAACCTGCAAATTATCATTTCCAGTGTTCTCATTATTATTTATAGCAGAAGTAGACGGTGCCGATGGTGGAATTTTGGATAGTATGATTGTGGAATCATTTTCAGGATTGGAATTTGTTGTAGATGGAGGATTTTCCAGTGTCTGTTCTAAAGGGATTATTGCAGAAAATTCTGCAAGTCTATCAATATTTACATCTGATTGTAATAAAGACGGTGATTCCTCTAAGTCAGCAAGGGTGATTAAGTCTTTTGGTGGTGAATGGTTCTTTAGACATGCTGCCACTAATTTCCTTCCTCTATTTAACATTTTGCCTGAAAAAAAATTAAAATTACTAACTTATATTTTAAAGAAAAGCTGTAAAACCGGTAACAATCATGGCATGAAAACCTCGTATGTTGTTTGAATTTATAACTATACGAGGTTTTCACGTGAAACTTTTAACAAACGGCTGTCAAATCAAAACTAACCTAGTATTTGCACTTTTGCAGCCGTTATTGAAAATAAACTAAGACAGATACCATTTTATTTTCACTATTGGCAGTGCATAGTTTGATTAATTAAAGCCGTTAAAATATTATGTGAAAACCTGGCATGTCACTTGAGTGGTTTGCTTTACTGTGGACATACGAGGTTTTCCTTGCAGTAATCGCGTCAAATAAACGAATGCATATTTATTGCTAAACTACAACTCCTTAGTTATAAAAATACAACCAGAGTGTATTTGGAAATATAAAAAATACAAATAAACTTACTTCACACCGATTTATCCACAATTTTTCACTAAAAATCTCAAAAATAGAGAGTAACGCCGAAACCATGCACTATTTACGAGGTTTTCTCGCTTGTGAAGACAAGATGGCCGACGAGTAATAAATAAGAGGTTTTCGTTTAACTCCATAGATGGCACTAGTAGTCATACAGTGGGTTCACGATTTTGCTGTATTTTAAAATACGTGGTTTTCATTCGGTTTTTACAAAAATAAAAAAAATATACTTTTTTGACATACGAGGTATTCATTCTACAGCGACGAGATATAAATCGTCTGCTCGTGGGTTCGGTAGCCAGACCATTTTTGGTTCGAATTTGTCCGAAAAAATTCTCAAGCACATCCTGATTGAGCCTTCTTGTAATTAAAAACGAGCACCCTTCTGTTGTTAAATCTTCAAAAAGCAATAAAATAGAAGTAATCGTTATTTGAAATAAACTTAACAGATGAAGTGACATTTTTCCATTTTTCGGATTGATTAATTGCAGATATTGAAAAAAAAAAGGTAACATATCATTAAAGAAAGTTATCTGCGATTCTTTTCCACAAAATGCTCTTCTGTATTCATAAAAATATCATTAAGATGAGTTTAAAGCATCATAATATATATTGTTCATATTTCTAATGTGTTCAACAGTGTCCCTCCCCGATTTTTCAATTTGATTAAAATCTACGTAGGTGGATATACTAGCGGCAACAGAATTATTTTTTTCAAAATTTCTTGGATTGATGTGACTGTTCGTCAATTTAGGTGCAACTTGAAGCTCTGTTGTTTATCAATCTCATAAAATTTAACGATGTGCTCGTATTTAGCAACACGATCCTGGAAATGAAAGTCGTAGGAAATCAAATTGTTGCGAACCAGTTTTATGAAATGGGGTGCATCAAAAATATGATATTTTTTTTCTGTCACTATTAAAGAAATATGGCCGTTCTATGGTAACAGATCTTTTTTTTTGTTTGCAGCGTTATATAGATCAGATCCCATGTCGGAGACAAATATTCTAATGTTAAGTCCTATCTTAAATAGTTTTTCTAAAAGTTTGTCAATCCATTAGCTATCTCGTCATAGTTTCTACATTCGGAGAGTAAAGCGTATACCACGGGTTGCTTCCAGTTGACAAATATCCCACGAACCATCACAACCAAAGCATTTTTGCAGGTTCCGGTGACCGTACTCCATCGACCTCATGAAAGCCTATAATTTTATCTTGTTTTAAGTTATAAAACAAATTAGCCTTGAAACTCATGGCATCAATGACAACTGAGCAGTTCTTTTCCATTTTATTCATGGCATCCACTTTAGTTTTCAGAATTGACATAAGTCTGTCGTTTATTTTAGATGTTACTGGTATTCCATGGGTATTTAATGTTCTTGGAATTGGGAGGCATATAATACTTTGCAGTAATCGGTAAGTTTGGGGACTGTTATAATATAAATTCATCACATTTTGTAGTTTTGGTCATATCTATTTCCGGTATAATTGAATTTTGAGTGAGTCTGTGCTTTTACCAACATAGCTAGCTCTTTCGTCAGAAATTTGTCACACAATTCATAAAATTTATCTCTTTGATATTTTCCCGTTTTGTTATAAATTTCGTATAATTTTTTTTTTCTACATTCTAAAAGATCGGATTTTAGTTTTCTTTTCCGTGGCGTGTTCAATGAAAGAGATCTAGAAGTTTGACTACTGTCACTCGCTGAAAGTATTATATTTTCTTCTGTCTGTGTACAGATGTCAACCAACTTCGGAGCTTCGGTTAATGTTTCTACATCTTTTTTTTGTAGAACTGGTAGTTGAAGAGATGGTAATGAATTGGTTTTAAGCTTTTTGCGATGTGTTCCCGTAAGAATATCCATAGCATTAAAATGTTCTTCACAAACAGTATAGTTTTGTGGCGGTTTGCTCATCAAATCTTCTCGAGCAATCAAACGAAGCCATTGGGAACGTCTGAAAAAGATAACAAAAGATTATCTTTCTCTTTCTCTTCAGAGGTGGTGTAAACAGATTGCTACCCCAATCTGTTAAATAAACAAAAAGTTCTTGCTGGTGGCTACTTTAACAACTCAGGAGCTTCCTCCTGAAGCAACAACTTTTGTAAAAAAAATACTGTTCTATTTTATTTACACTTTGACAACACTATCGGTTTCAACACCCCCAAAAACCATGAAAATGTCACCCATGACGAAAAAATCGATACCTATTGCAGCTGCCATCTTGGATTTACATTTCGACAGCACTATCGGCTTCATCACCCTCGAAAAACATCAAAACTACACCCATGACGCAAAAATTTATACCTATTGCAGCCGCCATCTTGGATTTACATTTCGATAGCACTATCGGCTTCAACACCCTCGAAACCCATGAAAATGGCACCCATGACAAAAAAATTATACCTATTGCAGCCGCCATCTTGGATTTAAAAATTGATACTTATTGTAGCCGCCATCTTGAATTTAAATTTCGACAGCACGATCGGCTTCATCACCCTCGAAAAACATCAAAATTACACCCATTACGAAAAAAATTATACCTATTGCAGCCGCCATCTTGGATTTAAATTTAGACAGCACTATCGGCTTCAACACCGTCGAAAAACATCAAAATTACACCCATGACGAAAAAATTGATACCCATTGCAGCCGTCATATTGGATTTACCTTTCGATAGTACTATCGGCTTCAACACACTCGAAACCCATGTAAATGACACCCATGACGAAAAAATTGATACCTATTGCAGCCGTCATCTTGGACTTTACTCTTTATTACCACTATTGCACTATCAGCTTTAAATAGCCTCAAAACTGATGCCTTCTGGATGTACAAATAAGCGAATTTATTATGATCGATCTCACGGACTTATAATTCGATAACGATTATAACAATTACAATAAAAATTATTCTTACCTTTCAAAATCAGCAGGAAGTTTAAAATACGATAGCTCCGGTTTTGATGAAGCGGAGTTCAAACAGCCGTATACTATGCAATACGTTCGTGGCATTTTTAAAGTCTTGACGCGACACTCGCTACTGAAGCACCGCGACGAGCGCTTAGGAGTCTCGTCGTTGCGCATGTTTGTGTGAGTGTGCCGTTTCGAGCGTTTGTAGGTAGTTTCCGTACTGTTCCTACTATAATATATTTATACTGTTATTCTGTATACGTGATTCCTATCACGGTTCGTCCATGGCGCCATTCAAAATATCTCCTTTTAAAATTCAAACAACATTTATCTTTATTACCCTATGTTTACCGTCGAAAATTGCGTGTTGAAAATTTTGTTTACATTATTGTTCTATATCGAAACGGTTTATTCCTTAAACGACAACACAGTATTCTAAATCTTATTGTGTTTTTTATAAGGCTCAGATTCGTTTGGTAAGATTAGGGTAGTTGTACAATTTTGTGTGGATGAATAATAAAGAGCGCCAATGTTTTCAAATGTAAGAGCGGCAACATCGCACTCTCTGGGATGCCATATTGATCTATTCTATAAATGGATGAAAGGGTACCTCGCGCTTACTGTTTTGCCTTTGTCATTTTTATGTAATGTTTGTGTTTGTAGGTACATAGAGTAATTTACAATATTATGACTTTCTAGAATATTATTTACTCTGTGTTTCTAGTGTATTATAAGTAAGGTTACCTTCCTACCTATATTTGGGAACTTATTCAAGTTTACAGCCATAGGTAGGATTAAAGTTATTACCAAAACAATCAACTCAGGCTTCATAAGCAACGTCATCTAGTTCATCACTGTATATTGCGAGAAGCATACTTCGTAAGTACATCTATTACAGTCCATAAAAGTCCACTGCTAAACATACGTAGGCCTCTTCCATAGATTGCCTCTTAGGGAGGATTTTGCCAGAGTTGGCAACCGCAGTTTTGTTATTATTTTGAGTTGTTATAAGGAGGATGTTGCTGCCCATCTCCTGTTTTAGTTTCCCACTGTCGCCTTATATGACACCCGACACCCACAGGACGATATGAGGTCGTGGATATTCTTACACCGCCACTAAACAGTTTACTTCGTTAGATTAGATTCCATTAGTTATTCTGTGGTCTGAACTAGTATCTGCTAACCTACCTACCATGGCTTAAAGAACAAGCATCCAAACAAAAATAAAAATCTTATTTTTAAAAAAACCTAATACCTACCTATTGAAATAGTTTTGTTGCGAAACGCACTTTTTCTTATTTTTTTTTTCTTTTTATAGAATACAGGTGACAAACGAGCACCTGATGGTAAGTAGATATTGTGGCCCATAGACATCTACATCTCTCCGCGATTAAGAATCAAAATGCAGATACGCACCCCGGAGGACTAAGATAGAATGCCTCGTTTCCTGTAAAAGGGTATCCGATTCTCTACACTCACCATACGAAACACAGCAGCTTTAAGTTGCTATTTTACGCTGGTATTCTGTGAGAGCGTGGTCCTTTCCCGGTGGAGCCGAGTCATTCGTGCTGCAACTATAGTACTAATATAGCTGCAGTAACGTAACCCGCCACCTCACGCACACGGTGAGGGTCTTAACATTGGCCTCGTTGGTCTATTGGTTGTAAAACGCGACATTTGATCATTTATATCAATCTTATAACCCTAAACGGGTATCGAATGTCGGGTCAGGCTTAAATCAGTTATTGGGTTTTTCTCTCAAGAAATGCTCAATAGCAGCCCGAAGAATATGAAAAAAGCTGTAAACAAGAGTTGTAACGAAGGTTGCCATCTTTTTTTTTTGAACAAATATATAGTATTTTCCCAAAAAAGATGAAAAATATAGTTCTTTTAGGAAATTCAGGAAATAAAAAGTACACATTTATTTTTAATCTTTATGTATTTTTCCACATACATTTGTTATTGCCTTTAAAATATACCTTTAAAATTAATTATTATTTTTCGTGCTATATTATTTTTCCATAATGTATAGTACAATTGACAAAAATATAGTACTGTACTATATTATAGTACCCTAGTGGTAACCGTCACCAACATAAACAAACGGTGTTTAAGGAAGCACAAAGTCGTTCAGCGGTCTATTTACACATGTAAATACAGATATACGTGGTAGAGCCATGCTGCAGCTATATTAGTCGTATAGTTGTAGCACGAATGGGTCGGCTCGACCGGGGAAGGACCACGCTCTCACAGAATACCAGCGTAAAATAGCAGCTCAATGCTGCTGTGTTTCTTATGGTGAGTGTAGAAAACCGGAGACCCTTTTTACTGGAAAAGAGGCGTTCCATCTTACTCCTCACAGGTGACAACGCATCTGCATTTTGATTCGCAAACGAGGATAGATGCAGATGTCTATGGGCCACAGCAACCACTTACCATCAAGTGGAGTGTGTGCTCGTTTCTCAACCTATCCTATAAAAAAATGCAGATTTACTCACGATGTTTTCCTTCACCGTCGGGCACTTGGTAAACAAGCGCTTAAAATTGTAATTAAAAATTTCATTGGTGCCAGAACCTAAAAAAAAACCTAAGCACGCGCGCTTAGGTTTTTTTTTAATAAAACGAACAAAAATAAATAAAATCGTTTCCACATAATAGCTGCTGAAGTCGGTAGGTACATAAGATATTGTGTACAAATCCCGGCTTCGCATGTGTGACTTCCGGATCTCGAAAACAGCGCTACCTACCAGGTTCAATTGTGAATCTAAACCATCCACCCACTCAACAAACAAAAAAAAACCTAATTCATCAAAATCGATCGAGCTATTATCGAGTTTTTTTTTTCATTCATTTCATTCTTTTCAATTCTTTGATATCGGCTTTTACTTTATTAATGAAAGTATGTATAATTTTTGAATAAACAATACAAACATAATTGTAGACAACACAACAGTCGCGAATAGGGTTACCATATTTCAGGATTCTTAGACTCTTCTCAGGATTGCGGCTGGATTTTGCAAATCTCATGAAGTCTCAGGATTTTTAGAACTTTCAATATAATACAGCTTACATTTTAAATATCTCTTTAATAAAAAGTTAAACAAACTAAAAATAATTTTTCTTTGGTAATAATTTCACAATTAAAATCAAAACTTATTTATCCAAGTAGGTACTTAAACAGTTTTATCATACTTCATATGTGAAGATACCTTTTTAAGTAAGGTTTTCTTCTCAAACTGTAAATAAATCTCAGGATTTTTAAATGGAAATCAGGCCTCTTCTCCGGACTTTTAATTTTTTCATCTGGTAATCGCGAAGTCCTAAAAAGATCATGTTAAATTCTACCCCCGGGAACCACCCTCAGTTGCCACATCCAACGGGCCGGCCTCCAGCTGCGAGGTTGTAAATCAATAAAATCGGAATTGCGCTCCGGGTTGCCCGGGAGAGTTTATTTCTGTACCCTTACACCCGACCGTTGGGAAAGGGCACGCAAACGCGCTGGAATTCTTTCACCCGAATATGAAGTTACGTCCATATTGATATAACGTAGAAAATTGTTTTTTTTTTTTTTTTTATAAATAGAATGACCAACGAGGACATAGCTCACTTGATGGCAAGTGAATGTTCTGGCCCATAAACATCTACATGAATCAACGATTAAGAATCATAATGCAGATGCAATGTAACGAGGACTAAAAAGGGTCTCCGGTTCTCTACACTCACCATACGGAAAATATAGATGCAGCGTGGCTGTACTTATGGTTGTAGTAGCACGAATGGATAGGCCCGACCGGTGTAGGACCACGCTCTCACAGAATACTAACGTGAAATAGCAGATTAACACTGCTGTTTTGTATGTTGAGTGTAGAGTACCGAAAAACCTTTTACTGGAAACGAGGCATACCATCTTGATCCCCAAGCGCGACAAAGCACGTCTGCATTTTAATTCTTAACCTTTTTGTAAATGTTTAATGCTTGCTCCAACTTGAAAGATACGATAGTTTTTATCCCGATAAGCGACCCCTCAATATTTTTATTGCGAATTTAAAGATTTTTATAGGACACAAGGTCGTCTATGCATAAACTTAACCACGTTTTAGGTTTAGGTTTTATTACTGACGCCAAATAGCAATGTGTGCACTTTTGTATGTAACCATTATTTAACCTGTGCGTTTGTGTTTCCGATCTGAATGGTATAGCAAGTCAGAATAATTACAGGCATTCCAATTCCAATTCAAAATACCTCAGAGGTGACTGCAGATTTGCGTAGTATTCCGTGTTAGAAATTGCCTGCAAGGGGGCTATGGACCACAGTAGACACTTATGAGGTGGGCCGTTTGTTCGATTTTCACTTCATATTAAAAAAAATCCTTTTTCCCACTACAAATTGGAGCGTAAGAGCATGCATCAATCATTAGGTTTGTGTTAGTGTAGGGCTGGCCAGACTATTTACTTGAAACGAGGCATTCTATTTTCCATGTTAGCCCCAGGGCTCAGGGATTTTTAATTGAATAAAGATTTTTGATGATAGACTGTGTCCTCGTTTGTCAATCTTATTTTATTAAAAAAAATAAAACATAAAATTTAATTCAAAATTAAATAATAATATGTACTCGTAACAGTAGAAACATCAAAATAAATTGTCTACAATAACAATTTATGAAGTAGGTATGAACCTATTCCAAGCGACAAGCGTCCTATTTGACCGGCCGTAAACTCGGTTGCGTCACTTGTTTTGCTGCACGGAGCGGCAACGTCGCCTTTCTCTTGTATTGGGGCCGGGCGCCCGCTTGGCTCGAAAATATCTTGTTGACTGCTTTTTGCTTTAATACTCTTGAGATAGGTAGTGGACTAAGAACTGTGCATTGCGTTGTTATATTAGGACTAGACTAACTGTATTAGTACTAGGTATAGTTGTTGCGCGAATGGGTCGGCTCGACCGGGGAACGACAACGCTCCACAGAATAACACCGAAAAACGGCAGCTTAACACTGCTGTGTTTCGTATGGTGAGTGTAGAGAACCGCAAACGCTTTTTACTGGAAACGGGGCATTCCATTTTAGTCCTCACAGCTGACCATAGACCCATAGATCTCTATGGGTCACAGCAACCACTTACTATCAGGTGGACTGTGTGCACGTTTGTCACACTATCCTATAAAAAAAAAACATCATTAATCAAC